AAAATTAAAGTTAATACTTGGTTTACATAGAAGAATCAATATCATCATCTTAAAGGCATCACACCTAAAATCATGTTTTAGTAAAAACCTGAATCCAGATGTCAGATCAACAGAAACTATACACTTCCTAGGTCACCAAAGGCATTCAGGAGAAATCGTCACTCCTAAATCCCAATCTCCAAATGCTACAAGATTTTATAAAACTAGCAAGATTAAGTGTAGGCTATTTTTCTGATTTTGATTTATACTTTAAGCTTTCCTTTTGTACCTTGAAAAAGTGGCTTTTTCTGGGCTGGAACAATGCATTGTACAGTGGGTATGGTGCTTGCCTAGCATGCAATGAACCTGGCCCTTTCCCTGAGCTCACAGCCAGAAGCCCTGAACACTAGTGGATGTGGCCCCAAAGCAAAATAATTAAAGGTATGTATTTTCCTGCTTCAATTTAGCAACTTTTATTTCAGACTATCCCTATGATAAAAAAAAAAAACAATCCCAGTTGAAAGGAAATCATGTGATTTTAGAGATTAAAATGGAACTACTTTTAGTGGATCAGAAATAAAACTAATGTTAAATATGCCCACCTCATTTTCAGTGTTACATGTTTTAAAAGAACTTTCTTACATACTGGGGTTTGTGAATTGAGGTGGTTTGAGATTCTGACTAGTGATTTTTTGAGTTTAAATCAGCGTCAATTTTTCTTATGCATTCTTCGTCTCATTTGCCTGCATAAAAGATAAGTTTTTAAATCTACAGAAGTTTTGAGAATTAAATAATTGTCAATTATGAAATCAAAGTTGCTGCATCTCATTTAAAAATTTAATTTTTAGGGGCTGGAGCAATAGCACAGCGGGTAGGGCATCTGCCTTGCACTCAGCTGACTTGGGTTCGATTCCTGGCATCCAATATGGTCTCCTGAGCACCGCCAGGGCTAATTCCTGAGTGCAGAGCCAGGCATAACCGCTGTTCATCACCTGGTGTGACCCCAAAAGAAAAACAAAAAAAAATTAGAAATTTAATTTTTAGATTTATCTTTGACAATACGAAATTTCTGACACAAATCTGAATCTTTGTATAAGGCTCACTGCACCCCACCAAGATGTTTTTCCCAACTGCTTCTCCACCCCTCATACCCTTTCCTGTAGCAATCAATCAGCAGCACAGTTCTGTGTATAATGTAACACTGTATTTGTGAAAGTTGGACTTAGATAAAAAACAATTCTTTATATCTGTAGGTGATCTGATTATGACCACACTAAATATGTGTTCAAGAAATGAACTGTGAGAGATGTTATTTTCAAAACAGAATCTCTCTACTATGTTATCCAGAAATAATTATTTAGTTGCACTAAATTCAGATAGATCTTGATGGGTTCATTGTCCACACACACAACTGTGAAGGATAAAGAACACTAGTACCATTACTAGACAATCATTTTATGAACACTGCCCCCTCTCTACAAGTCTTCATTTACTGCCATAAACAAACTTTGCTATTGTCACAAACCTAAAAAAAAAAAAAAATCAGATGCTAATTTTGAGATTAATGAAATGGTTAACTGGCACTTAAAGCCTGTGTTGTCTACTAAGGAAAAGATATCAAGATTCAAGTACTTAAAAGGTCTCAACAGGTTTGTTTTGATAGAAGGAATTTAGATTGATATTGCTAAAACCTATAATCTGAAGTGATTTATCAAGCCCTAACTTCTATCATAATATATCAAGAGAATAAAAAGGTGCTTTAATTTTGCAATATTTCAGAGACAGAACTCGTTTCCTTCCTGTGTTCACCTAAGATCTAATCAAATAACCTCAACTTGCAGTTACAGCTTGACATTCATAAATGTAAATTCAAATGCAGATTAGAAAACTGAGAGAAGTAATCTGATGGCCCAGTAATGAGACATTTCAGAGCATGATAAAATCTAGAAATTTCTTATTGAATTCACCTTTCCCAGACCCCATACAGGTTCTCTAGTAAAAAGACTGCGCAGCTCAGAATAATTTACCAGATGCACCATCAGTTAGGGTAAATGATACTGGTATTTATTAGGTGGGCCCATGATGCCAAGTCAGTTGTTCTGCTTTCCTGCAAATAAAAGAACAGTACATCTAAAAAGGCCAATGACATCTATCATTGGTACAGTTCTTTCAGGAAATGTTCTTATACTTCCTTCATAGAAAGTAATACAATATTCTAGACAAATATGCAAAACAAGGTGAAATGAGGATCTGTAAACATATCCTCTTAACAATAAAGAAAATGAGGCACAGACAACCTGTTTCATCAGTCCCAGTATTATTTTTTATATTCTATTTTATCAAACAGATACAACCAATTCCTTAAAAGCAACTGCAAATGTAATTGGAGATAATCCAAACCAAAAGCAAACTGGAATCTCAGCTTTATTATCAATTCTGTAAAGAAACAATCTATCAGTGTAAGCAATGACATCTGTAAGGAATCATGTAACAGCATCAAGATTGAATTCTTCCATCTCCTAGATGAGGGAGAATCTGTATATTAAAAGAAGATGTTCAATCATATAGTTCAGCCAGATAATTAAATACAATTTTCAATCCAATCATGGCTTGAACCTCTCAGGAGCCCTGACCACCCGTACCTCTTGGCATTCCAGTTCTTCACCCCACCCAACACTTTTCCTCTGCCAGGGCCTTTACTTTTGGTTTCCCCAATCGTCAATCTTTTCTTTGAACTCGCTACAACTAACGTTATCTCCACCGGTCATTTTTCGCCGCCATGCGCCATGCTTAACTAAGTCCAACTCTGGCATCTGGTACCCCTTTGCAGGGCACATAATTTGTGTCCTATCAATCTAGGTTCCGTGACGAGCAGTTTCCTAGAAGCCAAATGTCCAGTATAAATTAAAAATCAACAAAGCACAGCATCTACGTATACTGTGGCACAAATTCATTAAATATGTTGAGCAACTCACAAGACTTTCCTAACGCAAACAAAACCCTGATAACAGAGTCCACTATGCCGCTATTCTAAACAGATTCATAAGTAAAGGTAAATAGGAGAGAAAAATCGCAGAAATCGATATATTCATGACTTTTTAACCAAATAGCCGATTTACGAATAAGCACCCATCCATTTATTAATGTTGCCACACGACAAAAACAACAACAACAACAAAAAACCCACAGCGATTTCCTACATTAGTTGAGTCAGTGACTTTTTAGGTCGTTTCAAGCATTCTTTTTCTCCTCGAACTGGAGGGGGGGGGGGGGAAATAAGTTACCGGGCAGAGCGGTTCCAATCAAAGCACACCACAAAACTGGTTTTATTACCAGTCTCTCCGGGCAAAACGGTGTACGCTCCGATAGGCACATAGCGCAGCAGGCGAGAAGATTTTATTTTTTACTTTTTTTTTTTTTAAATAAATCCAAGTGTATGTCAGCACCGTGTACTTTTCTGTCAAAATTATGGGAAGGGCCTATCTAACGAGTACAGGCCAAAAAAAAAAAAAACCCCCAAATCAGATAAAGTACAGCTTTCAAATTCCCTGCCGTACTTTCTCCTCCCTTCTTCCACCCCTACCCCCACACGATTTCGGTGTAGGAAAAGAGGCGCCTTCGGGGCAAACACACGCAACCCCCGAATACAAAGGGATCTGCACCCCAAATCTGTAAAACGGGGTGTGTGTGTGGGGGGGGACATTCAAACGGAGAGTCGGGAGAGAGCGGCGCTGAGGCCATTTTGAGCGACGAGGGGGAGGAGGGGAGGTCCTGGCAGGACCCGAGGCCCGAGAATCCCGCTCCAAGGCAGGCAGGCAGGCAGGCAGGCAGGCAACTGAGCCGGGAGGGTCGCGGCGGGGGGAATCCCAGGGTCGCGGCGGGCCCATTCCCCGAACCGGGTCGCTGAAGGACTCCGGAAAACGGGAACTCGCGGCGCGGCTGCCACGAGCAGGGAGCCCCCGGGGCGTGCTCCCGAGACCCAAGTCTGCCCCGAGCGCGGCCCCGGCACGCACAACTCTACCGCGTCTCCCCCACTGGACTCGGCCGAGCTATTGTGTGAGCCTTGGGCGCGCTTTTCGCAATCCCCCCCCACCCAGCCGACGGCAGGTGGGGGGGTTCGTTCCGCGGAAGAGGAAACGCTCTCCCTTCCTTTGCTTCAGGAGTGCGAAAGGCAGCGACCCAGCCGGGGGGGGGGGGGGGGGGGGGAGACCTGAAGGGCCCTCTGGAACGGAGCACGCGTTGGGAGATCCTGGGTCCCTACCACCCCCCCCACCCCCCCCCCGAGCACCCAAGTCCCGGCTCCGGCCTCCTCCAATGGCTACTGCCACGTGAATTCTCTCTTGGGCGTTTTAAGGGAAGGGAGGGAGGGGGTATCTTTCTTTCCTCTTCCTCGCGCGCGCCAAGTAGCGGCCTACTCAGCCAGCGGGCCAATTACCGTAAGCTGTTGGGATCCCGCCGCGCGGACCGGACTTACCTGCCGGGCTCTCTGCAGCGCATCTTTGAAAGCATCGTTCACGCCGCCGCCGCCGCCGCCACCGCCGCCGCCACCAGCGGAGCCAGAGGAGGGTGGCGGCACCGTGGAGTAGTCGGCCATGCCTACAGTCTAGTGCCCGCGCCTGCCTGCTGCTTCGCAGAGACCTCCCAGCCAACTGCTAAGAAAGAAAGAAAATGGCGGCCACCGAGCCTGTATCACATTCTTGTGCGACCATCGTGCCGTAAAGGGGCGGGGACTGAAACGAGGAAATCTCGCGATGATTGGGAAGCCACGCACTGGGCGCCGAGCGGCTCGCGCTGGCAAGGGGCCGGGAGATGTCGCGAGAATGGTGCGGGCGGGGTTTCGCGAGATTTGTTTTTGGCGCCTCCTCTCCGCCGCGGGTCCCGGTGTGAGGTCTCCGAGGCAGCGCTTCTGGGGCGGAGTTAAGGGAGGGCTCGAGAGCGAGGCGGACGCTGGGAGCGCGATAGGCTCGAGTGGGGCTGAGAGGAAAGGGGCTGAGGTGGCCCCGTGGATCGTCGCCGCGGGAAGGTAGTGGGGGTGAATTTCCCACCTCCTGAGGAGCTGCCTGTCGGTCCCCGGGGGCCAGGCTGTGACGTCGTCGGGCGTAGACGGGCAACGCCACAGAGTCCGGAGAGCTCAGCGGTCGCCTTGGACGGAGCGCGCCCTGGACGTCGCGCTGCCACTGAAAACGTCCGCCTGGCCTAGCGGGAAATCGGCATGATTTTCAGGGTAGTAAAGTGTCCCTGTTTCCTACATCTAGAGTGTCAGATTTCTCAGTTTGATTAGAAGTGGGGGGGGGTGGGGGGGGGTGAATTGAAGCTGCCCGTCGCCTGCATTCTCGGGGTCGTTTGCAGAAACGGAGTTACGTAATGGTGGTGGAGGCCGTGACGGTGTGACCGCCCCTTTATCTCGAGAACCTTGACTGTGAGCTAGATTGCACTGTTAGATCGGCTTCCCTTGTCGTGTCTGTTCCTGCCTGTGCCCTTTTTTTTTTTTTTAAATTAAATTGAGTCTTCATAATAAAGCACGTGTAAGCATTTACTCTTGAACAAAATTGTGGCTTTTTAGAAAAAAGTTGCCCCGCTCCCCAAACCGTGAGAACTAGGATGTTTCTGAATTGTCATCGCAGGACCAGATTTAAAATTTTCTTCGCCTTTCCTTTGAGAGCATTCGATATGCCAGACACAGTAACAACAAAAGTCTCCAATGGAGACGTTACTGGGCCCGCTCGAGCAAATCGACGATCAACGGGAGGGCCTTTACCTTTACCTTTCCTTTGATTAGCAAAGAATTTCAAACCTAAGACCCTCGCTTCCCAGCATGCAGCACGTTATTGAACTTGCATTCAGTGTCGGTCCCAGAAACATCCGGATGCATGAGGCGTTCTTGCTCAAATTTCTTTTTGAGTTATTTTGATAACCCACCCTTTGCACTCTGGCAATTGATGTTTTGTGAGTTGGTCGACGAGAGGACTGGACTTATTGCTGTCGTTAGAGTGGCTTGTATGCTGTGTTCCTGAAAACGAATTGATGTCGATCTCCTCGAGACCCCAAATAAGATAACTGTGGAAACGTACAAGTGGCTCAACATTTTCTTCTATTTATATCTCTGATGGTTTTTATAGGTATTCATACAACATGGAAACTTATTTATTTATTTTTTTTTGTGAAGAGCAAAGTCAGGACCACGTTCCGTGGAGCCTAAGTTTTATTTAAATGAAATTTGGAAATTTTTATTTGGAAAAGCAGTGAATGTGTTGACCCATATATTAAAGCATACTCGGCAAAAACAAAAAAAAAAACTAAAAGCAATCTTGGGTGGTATCATGAAATCAAAGTTTTTCTGTTGTGTTTTAAGAAAACTTGTGAATCAAGTGGCGTTAGTAAAACTGACTTGTATTTTATTGATTCAACTTGCCAGCTAGACTTTATGATCAACATTGCCTTAACCACAAACTGACATAGTTACCTCCAAACAAACTATGTCAGGTACATTTGTTTTAATTCAGACACTTTGAAAATAAGGAAACCTCCATTTCTAGTATTTTTTTTTAATTTTCATTAAAATATGAGTATTCTAGGATGAGGACCTATCGTATCTATCCTAGATAAATGCATGTTTTTAACTTAAGCATTATTAACATTTTCTCACCATATGTATTTTAAAATGTGTATATTTCTTCTATCAAAGTATCTTACAGTGGGCCTTTACACACAGGATAGGTTTTTTTATACACCCTCTACCTGGTGAGACTCCTCAGCTTTACAGTCCCAGAGAGCAGCCTATAATTTTTTTGTTTTGCAGAACTCCTGTGCATTATATGTTTAGCATATAATTAGCATCCTTGGCCTCTACCCATAGATGCCAGTAGCATACCCTCCCCCAATTGTGACAACAAAAAATGTCTTCAAACATTGCAGATGTTTGCCCCTGAGAGGGTAAATCACTCCACACTGAGAACCTCTGCTCAACCTTGATTTCTGTCCCTGCCTGTTTATACATCAGGAATACACATTTACAGTACTTTCAAGGTATATTTTGAATTGTTTCTTTTTACCTCCACTTCTAAAAGTATCCCTTTTCCACTGTTACAGTAGCATTTTAATTCATTTTTCTGTTTCCATCCTTATAGCTCTATAATTTCCTTGTTTTATTTTGCTTTGGGATCACACCTAGTGGTACTCAAGGATCACTTCTGGTGGGAACACAGGTTTTGAGATTCTGGGATTGAATCCAGATCTGACAATGCAAGGCAGTACCTTTCTGGTTCATTTTACCTTACTGGCTCACTTATTGGTTCACTCTGCTATACAATTTTGTACAGAAAAGATATATAGTGTTTCCAAAGTGACAGGAGCCCTGTACCTACTTTACTAGGAGTGTTCTCCAAGAATAGTCATCAGTGATTTTGAAATTCAAAGGTAGTCCTTAAAACTCTTTATATAGCAACTTGAATTTTTTTTTCCACACCTGGCTGTGTTTGGGGGTTTGACTTCTGGCTCTGCATTCAGAGATCACCCCTGTGGTGCTCAGGGCACCATATGTGGTGTCAGGGATTGAACCATGAACAGCTGGGCCAGCTGTGTGCAAGGCTAATGCCTTACTGTGGCCTGCAACTTGAGTTTTTTGTTTTGTTTCAGTGCCAGGAACCTTACTTGGGTAGGTTGACATGTAATTCAGCCTACCCAACCCAAAAAACCTCAGGTTTTTAATGATCAAGAAAGATAATACAGGGGACTCAGAGATAGTATAGCTGGGAGGGAAATTGCCTTGCTCTTGCTGACAGGGATTTAATTTCCGAATTCCTTTTGGTTCCCTAAGCAGAACCAGGAATAATCCCTGAGTACAGCTGGGTGTGGCCCAAAACAAAGATAATCCTAGCCAGTTTCTATCCCAGGAATCACATGGACCCTCCATGTGGTCCTAGGTAACTTGGTAACTTTGGACCTCACGTGTGGTCTTGCACTGAGTCACATTGAACGGTTCTTTTTAAAACAAATGACCTGGGAATATAGTTTAACAATAGATGTTCCTTAACTGTGTGGGGCCCTGGATTATACCGCGACCACGACCATCCTGTTGTTCGTCGATTCCTCGAGCAGGCCCCAGTAACGTCTCCTTCGTCCTAGCCCTGAGATCAAAGCTCATTCAGGGTTAGGAGAATGAGACCCATCATTGTTACTGGTATTTGGCATATTGGGTACACCACGGGGAGTTTTCCAGACTCTGCCGTGTGGGCAGGTTACATTCAGTAGCCTGCCAGTTTGTCTAAAGTAAGAATAAGAATGAGATAATAAGATGTCGCGGCTGCAAATGCGGCTGCGTGCTTCTGGGAGCTGGGTTTTTTATAGTCTCTGGATCTTGGCCGTTGATGGGATTACACGGCGCCAGGGGGCCAGTTGGTGGGTGTGACCCCTGCCTACTGGAAGAGTCTCCTGCCCCCCTCCCCCCCCCCCCCCCCCCCCCGCGCCTGGCTGTCCTCGCCAGGGCCCCTTGGAGGGGAGTGGGTTGAGTTTCCCTCCCCGCCCCAACCAGGGCTCCGGCAGCTGAAGACCTCCAGAACCAGCCACCACCATGCTGAGACCACTCTCCACACGCATGGATTACACCACCAGCACTAAAAAACATAAACCTACATTACTAGATTAGAAAAGTCCAATTTAACTTTAAATCCTTTCTCATGGGCTGGAGCCATAGCACAGCGGGTAGGGCGTTTGCCTTGCACGCAGCCAACATGGCCGACCCGAGTTCGATCCCTCTGCCCCTCTCGGAGAGCCCGGCAAGCTACTGAGAGTATCTCGCCCGCACAGCAGAGCCTGGCAAGCTCCCCGTGACGTATTCAATATGCCAGACACAGTAACAACAAAGTCTCCAATGGAGACATTACTGGGCCCGCTCGAGCAAATCGATGAACAACGGGAGGGCCTTTACCTTTTACCTTTACCTCATGGAGTAGCTGGAGGATTCCATATATTCAGGTCACTGTTTAAGTACTCTTCTCCCAAAAAACTTTCAACTGTTTGACTTCTTTGCTATTCAAAATCTTCTACTATACTTGCTACTACTTCCATGAAGGGTACAGTATAAACCTTCATCTATATTTCTCTTTAATCAGGTCTCAGTTCTCTGCCTCTTTAGTGACCATTTCTGACCTTGGGATAGTACAGTAAGACATTCTTTCTATTCCATTATGTTCTCCTTATAGCATTTATATGAAGTTATGTTGGATGTATTTGTTTATTCTGTCTTCCATTAAAATATAAATGCTTAGAGAAAATGGATCTCATCTATCATTAGCTTCAACACATAATTTTAGCATTTTAGATATTTGTTGAATTAATGGCTATTGAAAATAATATTCCTATACATTTCAGTTTTTGTGACGCTGGGCAAGTGATTTAGTTTATGTGCCTCAGCTTTCTCATCTACATAATGTTAATAATCTTGCCTTGACGTCCTTGAATGAGATATGTTCTTCAAAAAAACAAAGTGGTGTGCAAATGAAATTGACATGTAATTCAACTCGGGTTTTAATGATCAAGGAAGATAATCCAGGGGGCTCAGAGATAGTATTAGATGGGAGGGAAATTGCTGATAGGGGTTTAATTCCCCAGTTCCTTTTGGTTCCCTGAGCATCAACTGGAGTGATTGCAGAACCAGGTGGTAATGCAGAACCAGGAGTAATCCCTGAGAACAGCTGGGTGTGGCTCAAAACAGATAATCCTGGCTGGAGAGGTAGTCAACCATTTCCATCCCAGGAATCACATGGATCCTCCAGCAATGGAGAGTGTGGCTTTGGATATATTCTACCCACAGTAGCACTTGCTGCTTGCCACCCAGTATTCATTGCTCATCTGGTCAGGAATTAACTATGAGGGCCTCCTGGGCCTCTTGGGAGGCTCCTCCCCCCAAGGAAAATACAATATTTCATGGTGCTGTACTGTTGCAATTAATTTTGATAATTTGTTAAGATTCTACAACAGTAACCAAGTTGTAGGAAATCTATCCTGTGATGTGATTGTTTTATATTTGAATTAGTTCTGGATCTACATAATCTTTTCAAAATTCTTTGTACTCCTCCTTACATTGGATAATTTCACTGTAATTGATGAGGCTATAATTTTAATTTGCTATGTAAGTCCCCTAAAAGTACATTGTGTTACTGTTTGCTCAAGAAGAGAACATCTTTTTCAGAATTGGTGTAAAAAGGCTTTTTGTTGTTGAAAGTGCATACCTGGTGCTCAGGACTTACTCCTCACTCTGCTCTGAGGAGTCCCTCCTATTGGTGGTAAGGGACAACATGGCTTGCTGGGAATTGAACTCAGGTCAGCCGCCTGCAAGACAAACATCGTACCTGCTGTACTGTCTCTCCAGCCCCCATAACAATGATTATTTCTATGCCAGCTTTTTACTAATGGATTTTTTAAATCTACGTGAAATGTGAACAGATTATTTTTACTGCTTTTGGGGAGAAATGACTTTTTTTTAAAAAAAATTTATTAGTGAAACACCGTGAGGTACAGTTGTAGACTTAAAAATTTTTGTGCGTGGGTTCAGTTATACAATGATTGAGTACCTATCCCTCCAACAGTGCCCATTCTCCACCACCATTGATCCCAGTATCCCTCCCATCCCCCCTACACCCCCATTCTGCCCTGCCTCTGTGGCAGGGCATTCCCTTTTGTTCTCTCTCTCCTTTTGGGTTCTGTGGTTTGCAAAAGAGGCATTGAGTGGCAGTCATGTTCAGTCTATGGTCTACTTTCAGCATGCATCTCCCTTCCTGGGTGGATCCTCCCAACACCCTTTATTTGGTGTTCCCGTCTCTATCTGAGCTGCCTGGGAAATGGCTTTTTAAAGTCATTTTCACGATCACGATCACGACAATCCTGTTATTCTTTGATTGCCTTGAGCAGGCCCCAGTAACGTCTCCTTCGTCCTAGCCCTGAGATTTTTAAAAAAGTGCCATATTCAAGGCTCTTTCGGGGTTAGGAGAATGAGACCCATCATTGTTATTGGTATTTGGCATATTGGGTACACCACAGGGAGTTTGCCAGACTCTGCCATGTGGGCAGGTTACATTCGGTAGCCTGCCATTCTAAAAGTCATTTTAGAATGGGAAAATATGTATAGGCTTTCTATCTCAACTTGACTCAACTCCTAATAACTCTGTTGGAAAAATTAGATAATATGTACTTTATTGCCCTTTTACGCAGTAGCAACAAATTTAGACTAGAAAGGACCAGAGAGCTAGTACAGTGTGTAAGTCGCTTTCCTTGCACACCACCAACCTGGGTTTTATTCCTGGCATCCCATAGGGACCGCTGGAGCCTACCAAGAGTGGTCCCCTTAGTGCAGAGCCAGGAGTAAGCCGTGAGCACCACCGTATGGCCCAAAAACTAAAAAGAAAAAGAAGGAAGAAAGTGGCCATTTCAAATAAAGGTAAATGATCCGAGATGTCATGTATTTGATCATTGGTCTTTTTTTTTTTCTTTTTGGGTTACACCCGGCGATGCTCAGGGATTACTCCTGGCTCATGCACTCAGGAATTGCTCCTGGTGGTGCTCGGGGGACCATATGGGATACTGGGAATCGAACCTGTGTCGGCCATGTTGGCTGCGTGCAAGGCAAACGCCCTACCCACTGTGCTATTGCTCCAGCCCCTGATCATTGGTCTTAATGACATATTTCTTAGTGACTGAGTGTCAATTCTGTTTCAGTCTGAGGTATGAAAGGAAGCATTTGTATTCTTTAAAAATTACTATTTAAAAAATTATATATGTATGTATATATTTGGGGGACAGGCACACTCAGCGGTGCTATAGTGCTATTCCTGGCTTATGCTTGGGAATGACTTCTGTGACCCTGAGAACTTGGTGTTGTGACAAGGATTAAACTTAGGTCAGTTACATGCAAAGCAAGCACTGTCTGACCCCAGAGCATTTGTATTTTATTTTATTTTATTTTTTTTATTTTGCTTTTTGGGTCACACTCAGCCGATGCTCAGGGGTTACTCTTGGCTCTGCACACAGGA